GAAGTTCAGCATTGCCTTGCAGTTGGCATTTGAGGTGAGGATGGGTGAGGCGTGAGAGGGTGGGCAAAGGAGTTGGTTCATGATGGAGAAGAGGAGCCTGGGGTTGCCCTTAGCCTCCAAGATTGCATTCAAGATGCTAGAATGAGATATTAAAGTCAATCCCATGCATTACAAACCCAATGTTTTGAGAACATCTATTAAACATGTATTGTCACTGGAAGGGCATTCCTCTAACTTGATAAATATACCCTTAACATAACTAAGGTGCAATTCAAAGGAAACAAATCTTGTCTATTAGAATAGTTTGCAGATTAATTACAGAATGAATTAATTAGAATCGTAGGAATTTACACTGCAGGAGGTCATTTGGCCCATCGAGTCTACACTTGATGTTATCCATTCAATCCTCCTACCCTGCCTTATCCCCACACCTCTTCAAACTTGCATGGCATTCAAGGTTCTGACAACTATATAATTCTCTTGTTTTATTGCTTTATGTTTCCATGGAATTCAATTTATATCAACTAGGATATTGTAAATACCATTACTGATGGCAGGTTGCCTGCATGCTTTCAACCACTATGCCCTGAGTTTCTGGAACTTCTTGCCTCAATGTCTCCATCTTGCTCCTCTCTGCCCATCTTCAAATCACACCTGAAGACTTTACTCTTCGACTGCGCCTTTGGTCAGTTCCCTTTCCGGCTTAGCATCAAGCCATACTGCTGTTAACTGCTCTGAGATGCTACGCACATGAAGGACGCTTTCAAAACAAGTTGCTGTGGATGAAACAGACCATTTGCATCAGGACTCCGATGCGGAGTGAAGCTAGGTTCTGATGTTGGTGAAAATGTTTAATTGTGTGCAAACAGGTTGCCAAACATATCACCCAACATAAAACTTTTGAGGAAGAGTGTTCACAAAATAAAACTTCGCAGTGGCTTTACATTCCATGTCAATAAGATATTGATCTGAAGTGAAACTGCCTAGTTTTTATAGGGGGCAAAATCAATTACTGCCATTCCTTGCTGGTATGTAAGTGCCTTCAGCTTTTTTAAAAAAATGTTTTTTCCTTTGCTAAGGTGTATAAGGAATGTTCTGCCGCACCCAAGCTAAACTATTCATGAACATTTATTGAGTTGAAAGACGTGCTTCAACAAAGAGAGGAGATGACACACGGCTGAACCAAAGAGGGTTGGTGAGGGCCATGTAATGATGCATAAATAAGCAGACTTGGCAGGGAGTTATTTTGGATGACAAAATAAAAGGGATTGAATAGGTTTTAGGTATTGCAGGAAACAAAGTTGTAGAAAAGCAGAACGGGTGAAATTTGCAATGTCGCATAACGTGAGCCTATCTGAAAGTGAGTGAAAGGAATGATGAAATGATGGCAATTGGCTGCTATCTGACTGTCATTCTGCACAAGTCAGCAAACAAACTTTGATTTAGACACAAATCACTATCCTTAAGAATCTCCAAAGCAAAAGTTATTACTGAATATCTGTCTCATTAACACCCACATCAGCTGTCACACCCCTCCTCCTCTCTTGCTCCGCACTGCGATCCTGTGTGAAGGGTGCTATATGACTGCAAGGTGTGGTTGTGTGTGTATGTGTGTGTGTGTGTATATATATATATATATATAGTCAAAAAGTATGCGGACTGAGGTGCCGTCCGGCATGGAGGGCGCTATATAAATCCAAGTTGTTGTTGTATGTATGTAAGTGGAGTGTAAAGTCTAATTTAAAGTCTAATAGATGGCAAATTGGAGGGAATATTCAAACAAAGTTAAATATTGTTTTTTTTCAGTCAGCTGGGTATCTAATACTTGCATAATCCCATCACCATGCTTAGGAGTATCCAAATCAGACTGAAAGCTCATTGCAAACCACCAACTGGAAATGTGGAATGGAATTCGCACTCTCTCCCTGAAGGGATTCACCCTGCTTACCAAATTGCAGAGAGTATTTAAGTGCAGGTTGGCAAGAGCCAAGCCTGTAGACCCCAGAGTGTACTTTGGGGTACTGTTGGACCAATGCTTACTGTCAAGGCTCACGTATGAAGAATGACAACTTGGGCAAAGTTCCTTAAGGGGGAATGGTAGAAATTGCAATCATAATTAACTTTAAGTTTGGTCATGTGTGATGTGGCAAACATAAGATTGAAATTCTGGGCCAGCAGCAAACCTAGGCACATTTTATCTCTTCAACTATGTAGAGGAGCAAACTACGCCCATTTCTAAATATTTAGCATTGCGGAATGTCTTCATGTGGCATTCGCTGGACTATGACAATCCTAATTCCTTAAAATTGCCTTTTAGAATCTTCATAACCTTTTCTGTGGGTTCTGTAATTACGTGTTAATGTCAATGGCAATGGAATTGTGAGTCTGTGCAAGCTGGAACGTTTGCCCTTCTTGTGGATAACTAGCTGAACTGTACTTCAAAATAACCTGGTTTACTTGAAATGTCTGCCCTCTGCTTAGCGGCAACCCTAAAGACTTGGCTAAGCCTTGTGTGGTATCTGACAGGATAAATTACACTCTAATTTATCTGTGACACAATCTGATAAACATTAACCCACAGTGCAAGTTGCTCAGAAAGTACTGTTGTCTTCTAAGCATTCATTAGAACCGTAGAACCATGGACATTTGCGGGTCAGAAAAGGTCATTTGTCCCATTGTGTCTGCACTGGCTCATTGATCACTTAAAGAGCAATCCTTTCAGTCTCTGCCTTTCTCTCCATACCCTGTAGTTGACTCATTGTTTAGATATGTATCTCGTTTCCTTTCAAATGCTAATATGGATTCTGCCTCAATCCCTGCTCTCGGCAGGGCAATCCATATCTTAATCACTCTGTGTGCGAAAAAAATTCTCCTAATCTCTCTGTTTGCTTGTTTTATGATTTATCTTGAATTGATGCTCTCTAATCCCTGAGTCATCAACCAGTGGAAATAATTTCTCCCTATTAACTCAAAACTCCTCAGAATTTTAAAGACCTCAATCAGGTTCAACCTTCTATTTCCCAGCAGAAAAAGCCCCAGTTTCTTCATAAGCCAAACTACTACTCTCCGGTATCATCCTAGTAAAGCTCCTCTGCACTACCTCTTATGGCCTTCATGTCCTTCTCAAAGTGGGGTGGCTAAAAATGGACACAATTAACGTTAGAATTTGTTTTTAACATAAAAAATCATGTAGCCAAAGGGCAGCCAGTTGGTTTAATGTCTCATCTGAGTCCTGTAGTGGAATCCTGTAGCTCAGTGGTTAGAGCACTCGCTTTGCAAGCGAGAGACCTGAGTTCAATTCCAGGCAGGGCGAAACCTTGGGCAAGTTTCCTTACTCCACACGCCTAATAATAATCCCTCCAAAACCAAAAACAATAATAAATTGGTCATTTTCAATCTACGACTGTTTGTGGGACATTGCTGTGCGCAATTGGCTGCCGCGTTCATCCACAAATATACAGTCAATTAATTTTACAGTGTCTTCTGTGAAGCGCTTTGGGACGTCCTCCCGACGTGAAAAGCGCTATATCAAATGCAAAGATTATTATTATTATCTGAAGGACAACATCTCTGCCAGTGTGGTACTCTCCTAGAACCGAGTGGCACCCCAGTCCTGCCATAGGGCTTGAATTTACAACCTTTTAACTAAGAAGTGAGTGTGCAGTTAGTTGAGTCAGACGCATACCTGTAATTTCTACAATGTAATTGTTATCACGCTCATCTGAAATGTGAATGGTTCACAAACTAGAAAAAACATATTTACTTCTCTGTCTCCCACCCTCTTCCCAACTATAATTTCTCCTGGTGTTCCAGTTAACAATCCTCCTGATACATTGATTATTCACTTCATGGTTATTTGTGTGATGTTGCTGTGCACAAATTGGTTACTGCATTTACTTACAAAATACAGTCATTAGATAATAATACTACAGGGCCATCTAACAAATTTCACAAGAGATTGAGCCACTGATTAACCGTATGCTACAAAGGGCAAAATTGTCATCACCATTTGATATACAGCCCTCTCTAAGTTATTTCTTTTACAAATGCAATCAAGGGAAAATCAATGGGTTGAACCATCCAAATTATGTGTAAAACTTTGTTATATCACAACCTGTTCTAATGCCCTCTTGAAATTGCAGACACAAATTACCTCCATGGGCAAGCTTTCACATGGGGAGTAAAAGTGGATATAAGTAGCAATTGGTTAAATGGAAATATTTGCCTCCAAAGCACTTGTTTGATTCCAACAAGTGGACAACATAAATTTGTTAAGGAACCAAAAGGTTAGTCTTAGGTTGTAATGCGATTTTGTCTTTTCGCCCACACATACAATCAAGTTTGCATAGACTTGTGGACAATTCTTCAATTCATTCTCAATTTAAAAGCTAGTTCAAATGCTTTGAGACATCCTCCTGATGAAAAAGGTGTTAATATATAACTAAATTGCACTGTATTCTAATAACTGCAGAAAACCCACTTCCAAATTGTGGCTGAATTTATGAATGTTCATAATTATGTGATATCTCAAATTTTAAGATGAAAATGATCTTACAACTTATGATCAGATGGAACATGGCTTCCAATTAGTCAATACATAGGAATATTTAAGTGAAAGACTATCATAGCCCATCAGACCTGTCTCTATCTCCCAATTACTCAATCCCCTTCAAAACATTATCCATTTCCTCTTGAAATTGCTTTCACGGTGTACCTCCATGGGCAAACTGTTCCACATGTTAAGCATCCTCAGTTTCAAGTAATTCAATCTTTGTTTTCTATACACCGTCTCCTTTCTGTGTTTGAGACCACATCACCTTCCTTGGTTGGACCTCTTGTTGTTATTGACTAAAATATGAAGAGAGTAGTAATTACAAATCACTTTTTTGAGGGTGGGGATGGGATGATTATCACTATCTAGTACCTCACAACTATGAAAAATGTCCTACATATAATTTAAGATTAACGTTTGTTACAATGTTTGTCCTTTCTATTCACAGAGTTATGCCTGTTTCATAATGGCGAAAGTGCAACTACATCCCCACTGTGTGCCCCAGGACAAGAATGCAACAGTTTGGGTAAATAGCATCTCTTGCAACATTTTATACGTTGGAATTTAATCCTTTCCCTGATTCCCTAGCCCAATATTCTAGTATCTAATGATAACACATTTTACTATAAGATTATACCATAATGTCCGATCCATTCTTGATTGGTTATAACATTGTTGTAGTACATATGTCTAAATGATGTGGTGTTTGTATTATTTCTATGTATAACAATAACAGCTTACACTTATATAGCGCCCTCCATGCAGGGCAGGGTCTGAGAGCGCTTAACAGTGACGGAGGCTGACTCCGAGCCAGTGCAGGGGTGGTGGTGGAGGTGGCCATAAGCACAATCAAAGAGGAAGATTTTCAGGCAGGATCTGAAAAATGGGAAACAAGGGGGATGGTGAAGGAATTGATGGAGAGTGTTCCAGAGTTTCAGGGCGTAGTGGCTGAAGGGTGGGGCGGAAGGTGCGAGGGACGAGCAGGAGGTCGGTGACAGCCGAGCGGAGGCGCAGGGTGGTGGATTGCGGAGTGAGGAGGTCGGAGAGGAAGTAGATCTGTTCAGTGATGGGGAGCCAGTGGAGACTGGCCAGAACTGGTGAGATGTGTGTACGGAATTTGGTCCGGGAAAATATATAGTCAGCAGAGTTCTGAATGAGCTGGATCTTTAGAATAGTGGAGCCGGGGAGGAGTGTGTTTCAGTAATCCAGGTAGGAGGTGATAAATGCATGCATGAGAGTTTCGGTTGCGTTTCAGGTAAGGTACGGTCGGAGGCGGGCAATGTGGTGGAGGAAGGTGGTCCTGGTCAGGGATCGGATGTGGGGGAGGAAGGACAGCTGGGGGTTGAACTGGACGCCTAGATTGCCCACTGGTTCAGTGAGTCTGAGGGAGAGCCTAGGGAGGTTGAGGAGTTTAGATCCACAGGAGTGAAGACGTTGACGGGAGTCAAGGAGTATGGCTCCCGTCTTGTCCACATTCAGCTGTAGGAAGTTTCACTCATCCAGGCCCTGATGTCCGCCAGACAAGCTGATAGAACATCGGTGGACCTGGAGTTGGTACTGGAGGAGGCAAAGTAGATTTGTGTGTCATCCGCATACGTGGAAGTTTACCCTGTGTCTGTGGATGACATCGCCCTTAGATGTAAAGGATTCTAGAATGGTTTACTGATATTTGTAAATCTGAATGGAAAATGTTGGGTAGCCAAGAATGGTTGGCACACTGAAGTAGGGGTATTCATACTGAGTGTCTCACGTCTGTGCTGGAGTTTAAATACAGTTAACTGTGATGCATGCAGATTTGTTGATTTATACATTGAGATGTAGCACATTATAGCAGGAATGAATGTTATAAGTCATGCAATGAGAGTGAGGATATAAGGATTGTATTGAATAGGGATTAGATCATTAATCTCATTGGATTTGACTCTTAATATTGTGAAGCTGAGCTCACAGCATTGTTCCATGTACTTCAGTGGTTTCTCGAGGTCCCAGTACATTGTATGAGGGAGGTTTCTTGTTACCAACTAAGATATAAAAGTACTTTTGTCCTTACTTTCATAAATGTAAGGTGTGGATAGCCACACCCTGGCTCATACCTGTGACTAGTGAAGGATTAGTCAGGGTTTACTTTTGAATATGTTTAAATGCTCCAAGCACAATACAGGAATAGGTTAAAGATAAAAACAATTTTAGATTCCCTTTCAACATCTTGAAAATTGACTACGGTAAATCCTAGCAATGACTAGAGAATCTGTGGATGACAACTCACCCAGCCTGTCTTGTCAGCAGGATTTAGAGGAACAGAAAAATCACTGGGAGCAGTGATTCTTCCCACACGGCTCCTGTCAGCTTTGCAAACCAAAGCCTGTAGTAGGGTAGTAAGAAGTCACGTATCAGTGTTTGAAATGGTAAACTGCATAGTTTTAGATAGTTAAACTCCACCAGTGCTCACAGTACACACTCTGGGATTCCCAAGCCTTGCCTGTTGCCAACCTGTACCTAATTCTTTCCAGTAGTAGGTGTGCAGGGTGCTCTGCACAAACAGAAACTGTGGTTATGTGGAACTTTCAGGAGTTCAATCTTAAAAGTGGTGCTGGGTTTCCACATGTGTCAGATACCCTGCTGAGCATTACAAAATGTAAACTTGAAAACAACAGAATGACTTTATCGCAAGATGTGATTCCCATTTTTCTGTATCACAGATAGTCTTCTCAAGGACACAATCACGTCAGTGTCCATAAACCAAGCTCTACAAAGTATGGAGTGAATATTGTGCATTGTGATAATTATTACCTGCAACTGTTATCACAATATGGAGGAGCTTATAAATTTACAGGGGGGAAACAAAATCTTCTGGAAAGTTGTCAGAGTGTGGAATGAATCAGAACAAAAGAACTTGATAGGCAGATGTGAAGGAAGGGTATTAGAGTTCAGGAAAAGAAAAGGGAATTGGGAATAATAATAATAATTGTTGCATTTGATACAGCGTCTTGTCGTGTCTTTGAGACATCTCGGAACGCTTCACAGAATATACTGTGAAGCGACTTGACTATATATTTAGTGGACGGAATGCAGCAGCCAATTATGCACAGCAGTGTCCCACAAACAGTCGTGGATTGAGTGACTATTATTATTTTTTGAAGGAATTATTAACCCCAGGAAAGCGACCCACTAATCGACTAACAATTGGTTGCCTACTTACTGCTAGGTAAACATAGGCATGTTGAGTAAGGAAACTTGCCCAACGTTTTCCCCTTCCGGGAATCAAACCCAGGTCTCTTGCTTGCAAGGCGAGTGCTCTAACCACTGAGCTATAGGACCCACAAGAAAGGGTTGGATGGCTCCATTGGAGGGGTAAACACAGATGCTAACTTAACAGGCTGAATAGCCTCCTAATGTGTTGCAGATTCCTATGATTATATAGGACATTTTGCTCCTGGAAATGTCACAGTCAATAGCTGCTAACAACTTCCCATTTGCCGACAAAAAAATACAGTCACTGCATTTTACATTATATCCTGTGAAGCACTTTGAGACATCCTTTTGACAGGAAAAGCACTGTGTCAAATGTATGGAAGATTACTATTATTATTATAATTGGGAGGACGCCCTGACTTCATTAAAATGGTTTTGCCAAATGATATTTGCTCCAGGCATTGAGCTAGTTGGGGTTGTGTTTGGTCTTGATTCTTTGGAGATCATCGCAGTTCAGTGTTGGACTGGGGAATGCTAACTTAGTTCAGCTTTTAAAGTGACACTGAAATACTGGATCGGGTTGCAGACAAAGATCAAGTGTCTTGATTGAGGGAGAGTGTTCCAGAGTTTCGGGACGTAGTGACTGAAAGCACAATCTCCGATGGGAGGGTGCGAGGGATGAGCAGGAGGCTTGTGTCAGTCGGGTAGAGGCGCCGGGTGGTGGATTAGGGAGTGAAGAGTTTAGGGAGGTACCAGGGATTGAATGGATTTGAACACGAGTGTAAGGATCTTGAAGTCACTCCCATGTTTTGCCCACAAAATACAGTTAATCCACTTTATAGTAATAATAATAATCCTTGCATTTGATATAGCGCTTTTCACATCTTCTAGATGTCCCAAAGCTCTTCACACAATATACTGTAAAGTGAATTGACTGTATATTTGTGGGCGAATGCGGCAGCCAATTGCGCACAGCAGTGTCCCACAAACAGTCATAGATTGAAATGACCAATTCATTGTTGTTTTTCTTGGAGGGATTATTATTAGGCGTGTGGAGTAAGGAAACTTGCCCAAGGTTTCGCCCTGTCTGGAATTGAACTCAGGTCTCTCGCTTGCAAAGCGAGTGTTCTAACCACTGAGCTACAGGACTCCACGTATATCCTGTGAAGTGGTTTGAGATGTCTCAATGACATAAGGCGCTATATCAAATGCGACTATTATTATAATGTCTCAATACATTTTTCAGCGATGGTGTGGAAACCTGAGCAGGGTGGGGCAGTAGTGTATTGGAGGAAATGAAAGAAGGTATGGATAACGAGATAGATTTTTTTTTAAGGGTTATGGAGACAAGAAGGGTAAAGGTTGGAAGCTTGTCTGCTAATGGTGATTTAGAAAGGATAGAGGTCATGCAGCAGGCCTGAGCTTGCAGAGCTAAGGGAGTGGGCAAGAGAGTGTGGTTGGGGAGGTTGCAAAGGAAGTAAGGCACAATCATGTGGAGGATTTTGAAGTCTTGAAGTTGGTCTGTTGGGAGACATGCAGACAGCAGAGTTCTGTATAAGCTGAAGCTAGTGGAAGTTTAAGATGGAAGGATTTGTGAACAGAGCATTTGAGAAGTCAAGCTGAAGACATGAATGAGGGTTGTAACTATATTAACCAGAGCCTTGAGATGTACTCCCGACATGAAAGGTGCTATACCAATGTAATGTTGTCGCTGTTGTTGTATATTGGGGGTGAAGTTGGGACGGCTTTTCCGCCAGCCCCCGCACTGTCTCGTGCGGTGTTCCTCAGGGCTCTGTCCTCGGTCCCCTCCTCTTCACCCTCTATATGCTCCCCCTGTGGTGACATCATCCGCAGACATGGGGTTAACTTCCACATGTATGCGGATGACACCCAACTCTACCTTTCCTCCTCTACTCTCAACTCCACGACCACCGATGTCCTGACAGCTGCCTGTCCGACATCAAGTCCTGAACGAGAGACAACTTTCTTCAGCTCAACGTGCGAAAAACTGAGGCCCTCCTGATTGACTCACGTCAGCGCCTCCGCACCTCAGGCGCATCAGCATCCAAGGCTGCACTCTCCACCTCTCAAAGCCATCAGGAACCTCGGCGTTCTGTTCAACCCTGAGCTGTCCTTTCTCCCTCATATCCGCGCCACAACTGGCACCGCCTTCCATCACCTCCGGAATATCGCCAGACTACGCCATTACCTCACCCCTCACGCTGCTGAAACTCTGGTCTACGCCTTTATCACCTCAAGGCTGGACTATGGCATCTCTCTCCTCGCCGGCCTTCCCGGCACCGCCCTCCACAAGCTGCAGGTCATTCAGAACTCTGTAGCTCGTGTACTGTCCCGCACCAGGCTTCGGGACCACATCACTCCCACCCTCGCTCGCCTCCACTGGCTCCCCATCCCCCAGAGGATCGAATTCAAGATCCTCATCCTCACCTACAAGGCCATTCACGGCCTTGCTCCCTCCTACCTCTCCAACCTACTATCCCCCTAGTTACCTGCCCGTACCCTCCCTTCCTCTGGCTCCAGTCTGCTCCACGTCCCCCGCCCCAACCGCCCTACCATCGGTGGCCGGGCCTTCAGCCTCTCAGCCCCGAGGCTCTGGAACTCCATCCCCCAGTGCCTTCGCCGCCTCCTCCCTTTCCTCCTTCAAGGCCGGTCTCAAGACCTTTCTCTTTGACCGAGCCTTCAGCTCCCCTCTCGACTCTCTACCCCCTCCTCGCTCCCTCCCTTCCCTCCCCTCACCCTGACCATTTCCCCCCTGCTCAGGTCCTGACCCACTGTACAGTGCCTTGGGACGTCCTCCCGACGTGAAAGGCGCTCTATAAATGGAACCTTGTTGTTGTTGTTTGAAAAAGTGCTGCAGTCCATGCAAATTGCTGAGATTGCACACTGGCTCGGTGAAGTCATTTGAATAAAGTTGGGGGAGGTGGGTATTTCCTGAAGGCCAATTGGAACATCTCCAGGAGCAGGATATCCCACAATGTGATACATCGCATACCTACAAACCATAAAGGTAGACTAATGTCAAACGGTAATCTAATCTCCGAGTTGAGGTAAAAATGATATGTTTCTTGATCTTTGCACTTCGGGATCATGACATAACTTGAATCCTATGATTACTTTGCAGCCTTTCACTCAGTCCCTCATGTGGAGTCCTGTAGCTCAGTGGTTAGAGCACTCACTTTCCAAGCGAGAGACCTGAGTTCAATTCCAGGGAGTGCGAAACCTTGGGCAAGTTTCCTTACTCCACACGCCTAATAATAATCCCTCCAAAAACAATAATAAAAATTGGTCATTTTCAATCCATGACTGTTTGTGGGACATTGCTGTGCGCAATTGGCTGCCGCGTTCGGCCACAAATATACAGTCATTCACTTTACAGTGTGTTCTGTGTTCTGTGAAGCGCTTTGGGACGTCCTCCCGACGTGAAAAGCACTATATCAAATGCAAGGATTATTATTATTATGTGATGATTTTCCTCAGCATAACCTTTGGCTTACTTTAATAAAACTACCAATATAGTTGAATAAAAGCGAACCGCAGCAATGGAGAGCTACATACTGAATGCTCTGAGATGCTAAATAAATACAAGTTGTTGACATTGTTGTGGGCGATTTGACAAGCACTCGGGTAGTTAGGAGCTTCAATTATAGAATCATAGAAATCTGTTATCAGAATGGGAGGCAATTTAACTGTTGGATAAATTTTGATGCCATCGTATTATCTTGTTAACACTACAAAGTGTGTCAATCATGGAGTTGGTGAAAGCAGGAGGAATCCTGGCTGAATTTCCTTTTCATAGCTCAGGGGTGTTAAAGCTGATTCTAGCACTCAACATCTACATCTACCTCAGCAATGACTATGGGCTGAACCAGGGATCTTCTGATGCCTGGTGATTGAATCTTGTACTGAATTGTTGGGAACCCCAACATTCCCAATGTTTGATACTCTTAAGTATCAAGGATACTCTTGGAGGCCAAGAACAACCTGAGGCTCCTCTTCTCCACCACCAACCAACTCCTCAGCCCACCCTTTCATGGCTCGCCCATCCTCTCCTCCAATTCCAACTGCGGGGAGATGCTAGACTTCCACAAGACCAAAATCAAGGGATTCACTCAGCCATCTCTGCCCTCCCAACTGCCACCCTCTCCCCATCTTTCCCTCTCACTCCAGCCACTTCCCATCCCTCCCTCCACACCTTCGAACTTGTCTCCCCATCCTTTTTCACCATCATTATGATCCATATGAAACCTACTACCTGCTCCCGCGATCCATCCCTATCCCTTTCCATATCTACCAGATCCATCTCCTTGCCGCTCTACTTACAGGAATCATTACCCTCTCCCTGTCCACTGGTACCATTCCCATGCCCCCCCATCCTCTTAAAAACCTTCCCTAGACCCATCCCTGCTCTCTGTGGAGTCCTGTAGCTCAGTCTTTGGAGCATTCGCCTCGTGAGCAAGTACTGGGTTTGATTCCCGGCAGGGCGAAACCTTGGGCAACTTTCCTTGCTCCACATACCTCTGTTTATTTAGCAGTAAGTAGGAACCCAGTTGTTAGTCAATTGGCAGATCGCTTTTCAGGGGTAATATTTCAAAAAAATAATAAATTGGTCAATCAATCCACGACTGTTTGTGGGACACTAATGTGTACAATTGGCTGCCATGTTTCACCCATAAAATATACTGTCAATTCACTTCATAGTATATTCTATGAGGTGCTTTGAGATGACTCGAAGATGTGATAAAGCGCGACATCAAATGCAAGGACTTATTACTAATTACTGCCCATCACTGACCTCCCTTTCCAAGGTCCAGAAATAAGTCACTGCTTCCAGCTTCGCTCCTTCCTCTCTCGCCACTCCCTATACGAACCTCTCCAATTGGGTTTCCGTGCTGCCCACAGTACAGAAACAGTCCTGGTCAAAGTAACAAATGACATTTTGTCCATCTGTGACCAGGGCTCTCTCTGTCTCCTCGTCATCCTTGACCTCTCAGTTCATTTCAACACTTTCAACCATTCTATCCGCCTCTGTCGCCTCTCTTCTCACCTCAAACTTCATGGTTCTGTCCTTGACTGGTTCAGATCCTACCTTTCACACGGTCTCCATTTTCTCTCCACAAACGGTTCCTGCTCGATGCCCCGCACCATCTTGTACAGTGTTCCTTAGGGCTCTGTCCTTGGTCCTCTCATCTTCAATATCTCTATGCTGCCTCTTGGTGACATCATCCGCAGACATGGGGTCAACCTATGTATGCGGATGACACCCAACTCTATCTCTCTGCCTCCATCCTTGACTCCAGGACCAATGCTGTCCTGACAGAATGTCTGTCAGACATCAAGTCCTGGATCAAAGCTACCTTTTTACGGTTGAATGTCCCGAGGCATTGGACGTTGGACAGAAATTTGGACCCGAGCAGGGGGTTGGTATCAGAAGGGGTGAATGGAGCTATACAAATATAATTTGTTGTTGTTAACACTCTTTAATAGTTCTATATTCCTAGGTCATTATCAACTCCAAATCCTGCACAAAATATTAAGAAAATAGCAAAATTCTAGATTTGTGTGGACTCTCCTCTCTGATATCCTTCACATTTTTCTTACAGATCCTACAGTTGAACTTCCGGAGGCTGCAAAGGTCGTAGTATCAAAATGCCCTTTGTCAATGGAAAGCTATTGTTATAATGGCGAGTGCATGCATATTGTAAGCGACAATATATCTTTCTGCAAGTAAGTGCACTCCTGCTTGTACTGCAGTCATCTGTAGGAGCTCTTTTAAACTGTTTGATGCATATTTCTTCGCAGTTTCTTTATACTGTGTGAGGGAATTTCTCCTGGTTTTCTGGCCAACAATCCCCCAAATAAAATCGATCCCCTCCCTTTACTTCGCCCCCTCCCTGCCTCCTTCAGGGCCCATCTCAGGACCCTCCTCTTTGACCGCGCCTTCGGTCCCCCCACTACCCTCCCTGCCGCCAATCCTTCCTGATCCAAACCCCTGCTCAGATCCAAATCCCTGACTGTCCAGCACCTTGGGATGACCTCCTGATCTGAAAGATGCTATACAAATGTAATTTGTTGTTGTCACTCATTCTATGCCTGTTTGTGGGACATTTCTGTGTGCCACTGGCATCCACATTTCGCCCACAAAATGTAGTCAATCCATTTTACAGTATATCCTGCGAAGTTCTTTGAGACGTCTCACTGACATAAGGTGTTATATCAAATGCAAGGAGTAGTATTATTTTTACATATATATATAAGTGTTAGTATTGCATGTATCATGATTACACTATGTAATCATATCACCTTAGACGGAGATAATATGTCATGTAGATTATTTCCTTCCTGACATCAGTGACATTGTATCCTCAAAGGATGAACGATATTCTCAGGAATGCCTTTGATAGAAACTAATTTTCCTATTATGTTGCCCCCCAAAAACTCTCCCTTTAATTTCATCGAGATGAAGAATCTGTATGGTTGTAGAATCATTCTGTCTGTGTGTGTGTGTGTGTGTGTGTAACCTATGGAAGATCCCCATTAGAACACATGACTAAGGTTAATACATTGACCTCTAGATTCATAAACCCAAGGTTAATAACAATAATTCTTACATTTAGCCCTTTCACATTTGGAGAGCGTCTCAAAGCACTTCACAGGATTTTACTGCAAAGTTGAGTGAATGTATTTTGCAGGTGTACATGGCAGCCAATTTGCTCACAGCAGTATCTCACAAATGGCTATAAAATGAATGATCAATTTTATTGGGGAGAAAGGTGACAGGAATGGGAAGTGCTGGCTCAGACTCCACATCTTTCCATCTGCTGGTGGCAGCTTGTACTAAAATGTTTTATTATAAACCGACACTGTCAGTCCAGGTTTAGATAATTCCCACTACATTGACTGTGTATGGTATACATGGATCCAAACGTCAGTGTATTAACCTCAGTCATGTCCAGCTGTTGGTGGGAACATGTTGTCTGAGATTCACTGGGGTAAAATTTACAGCATTTTCGTAATGTATGATGAACATGATACAAAAAGTGTATGAACATGACATAAAAGACCACAAACTTCATCTCCTTGGATACCAACTGTTCTGATGCCTTGCTGCGGTACTGCATCGGCACAGAAACCAAAAGTTGTGAACCCTAAAACATGTCATTGGCGTTGGTAAAAAGGGCATTTGTGGCAGTGGTGTGACAGATATCCAATCATGCAACTACAACCCTGCATTTTGTTTCTCCAGGTGTGATAAAGGTTATTTTGGTAACAGGTGTATGCACATTGAACTGGTGAGGCAACCGCTGAGCGAGGAGGATGTAGCGCTGGCCGTGGCTGTGTCCTTCATGGTTCTAATTGGTGTATTGGTTGCCACCTGGTTAATCTACATAAGGTATTTCAATACAAATTTTCAATCTTCAAAACTTCAGAACATATTCATGCTTTCTATTCAAAGCACTATGAGCAATATATAAATAGCTAGGCTTCGCTAGCATGAAACGTTTAATTGCAATTTATGTAGATTGGTGAAACCTTGTTAAGTGACTATTATGCTGTTTTACTGTTATGTATTTGAATTTGAGCTTAAATTTGGGTGAGGAGAGGGGTATAAGGCATGATAATTGGAATGCTATAAAAAGAAAATCTTTATCTGATCCTCTCAGAAACTCACATTGAACATTTTGTTGCATCAATCCTTTAGTGAGAAAACACAAACCACTTTTTAACCTTACTCATCAGGTCCAAATCCACTGACAACTTATGTCAGTTGAATTCACTGATGATATAAGTTAATTGATTTTGCTAAATTTTGTAAAGATGTGAGTGGAAATTGTATTATAGCCTTCATATACGGAAAGGTAAGATTTAAAAAGTGGTTTGTATACCACTCTCCTCATCCAAAATTAACCTCGAATTCACATGGATTCTCGTCTCATTAATTATAGGATGTTACTGGTGCAGATTAAGTTGCTTTTATGTACAACATTGACTTAATTTCTGATCAACTTTATTGTGTAAAGTGCTTCAAGTTAGTTTTCTTATTATCCAGCACTTTTGGTCTGAAACGAGCAGGGGACGTAGTACTGGGTTTGCAGACTCTTGAGCATTGTGGTGGGTTCCACTGTGTGTCAGACACCTGGCTGAACAACACAATGATTAATTTATGCAACTTTTATTTTACAGGTGCAAGAAGAGCAGATCGAAAAATCAACCAGAATACACAGGAGTTCAAACAACAACCACCACAACAAATTGTGTTTAAATAGCACCTTTCAAATCAGGAGGGCATCCCAATGAAAACTGCTTGCTAAGTATCTGAAGATACTGCAGATTAGCTTCAAATTGAAGTCAAAAGGTTTGGCAACCTTCACTCATCTCAAAAACGATCATCATGTTTAAAGTAATAATGATAACATGGGACTTGTCTAGCTAGGACTGCACTACCTGTTAGGGCTTTGGCTTGCAGAGCTGAGGATATATCTGCACTTAGGTGTTTCTTAGGTGTCAGGTGTTTCTTTTCAGAGCTCAGGAGACCTTGCTTTAAACCTTTATTTTACACTCATTTAGACTGTGGTTTAGACTCATTGTATTGATCTCAAAATGGAGGACGGGCTGAGGGACATTGTGGTTCCTCATCGTCCGCTATCTGGAACCCTGATGATGTGGTCATGGCATGAGCTACTCGGTATGTTAAAGTGCTTGAAGTAAATCAAGCAAAGGAAATGAGGAAGGTAACAATGCTGGTCTCAGGTTATGGTATAGGCAAGTTAATACTTGACACAAGAAATACTATTGAAGTTATTAAAAGTTACGCCTAGATTAATTTGGCCTCAATATTGTTTGGATGGACAGAAATGGCCCATTAAGACTGCACTGGCTCTCAGTTGGAGCTGTTCTTCTAATCCTCATACCCATGATTTATTTACATACTTCTGCCCTATCCCCATACCACCTGCCATATTCCAATGTGTCCCACCCTAGCCCCATCCCCATTTTGGAGAAAAAAGATACATTTTAAGCAACCATACAATGTAGATTGCAAAGCAGTAAAATACAACATTGCTGTTTTAAAGCCTGCCCATTTGAGCCAAACTGGAATCAATCTCAGGAGTGGGTGATATAGCTAACAATACCCATAGTATGTATTCATGAGCAATCATTTCCTCACACAAACTGATATGTAAAGCTGCTTACAGATTGCTTTGCTCCTACTACATATCAAATTTGACAAGTCACGAGTGCTTTGTATTTTTGTTTGAACTGCTATTTGAAAGGCTAAGTTAATATTGATGAGAAGGGAGAAAAGTACCAAGTTCTGTGAGGGGACCAACTTGTATTGTGGAGAATTCTTGTAAAATATTTATTTATAGGAATATATTTATAAGGTATGGTAGTAAAGGTTTAAATCACCTGCTTGTAATGGGTACACATGTGCTTTTGTCACAGACATGGACCCAGCAGAGGGCGATGTTTGACTGATCTGTGACCAGCACTATGAGGCTTGTAGCAAGTAGAATTTTATGTTTGATTATATTTGGGATAAATCTCTACTATTTATGCTGGTTGTACTAAAGTCACTTATTATTAAAGTTATATCTATTAGAGTTTTTATCCAGAGCCACTCAGGATCAATTATCAACTACAAATCCACTGCGCCTCTGAAGTGTACAGTGAGATTTAAATGAATGATTGATAGTACAGGGTATTTACAGGTCAATGCTAAGTGTGATTTAACTACAAAGTTCTGGGTAGGATCGAATCACCACACACATTACAAATGCCATTAATTCTAAGACAAGTTCTTCCTCACAACTTTTCGCCATTTTATCAACTTTGCTCCTTTTTGGTAAGATTGGCAACAGAATCACTCCCTTACCAGATAGGTCAGTTGAACACAAACAAAATCCACTTTGATATCACTGTATCAATATTAAAATATTTCTCATTGGGAGAATGAGATCTGCATTTATAAAATACTGTTTAAGACAATTATAAAAAATGGAAAAATATACAGATTTTTGATAATGCATTTGACAATTTTTGTATCTCAGAATTTTTTCTATTCATACATATTACGGTTTTCTATTGAAATAACATTTTTCAGTTTTTCTGGCTTAAGGGAGCAAAAATATCAATGTAGAAATATGATGGCACTGTGGAAGTTTATTGAGGTAGAGAAAATAATGTACAATAAAATAATCTTGCAATTTAAAATAATGCCTTATCACATCATTGAAACATCTCAAAGTGCTTCACGGGACTTACTATAAAGTGTAGTGACTGTGTATTTGTAGGTGAATATACTGCTGGTACTACAGGAAACGAAACTGCAGTTTCGGGATACCTAAATAGAACATTGATAACCAGCTATAATGTGCCTTGTAGCAAAACAGATGATTATTAGCAGAATATGGGAAAGATTCTCATGTGCTTATCCAATTTCTTGCCGTAGAATTATCAGTCATTTCACTGATATTCTGCTACTGATATATTGTTTGTCGGAGGAATTGACAGTGTATGATATAAACAAATAGAGTGAATGGTAGGTTTTCATGTTATAAAGTTTCTGAATTTGTATTTCACAGCTTGAAACTGTTCAGCAATAAACCTGCTTATTATAAAAAGTCTGCTTGATACTATCTGTTCAATACTGAGCACAACCTCGGGGAGTATTTATTGTGATGCGTGGAACTGTCGGATTAACGCTAATCCTGATAAAACTCAGTGTTAAACATAAAAAAAACTCAAAAGCAGGCAGAAGTGGTTAATACCAGGCATTTTTAGAGAACAAACAGATCACCTTCATTGAACCAAGACGACAAACTAAATGCAACCATGTATAGACGGCACCCAGAGTAAGGGGCATCAGCTCCTCTCTAGGCTCAGTATTCCTGTGCACAGGAATGTCTTTATACCTCCCTAAGATGCTCCCTAAAACCATCTCACAGGCTTCCCCTTTGTAGGAGTGCCTTCCGTATGTATGCGGATGACACCCAACTCTCTTTCTGCCTTCGCCTTCAACTTCAGGACCACTGCTGTCCTGACAGACTGTCTGTCGAACATCAAGTCCTGGATGAGGGAAAATTTCCTACAGTTGAATGTGAACAAGACTGAGGCCCTCCTGATTGGCTCACGCCAGCGCCTCAGCACCTCATGGTTGCACACTATAACTCACCAAGACAGTCAGGAACCTAGGTGCCTTGTTCGACCCTCAACTGTCTTTTCTCCCCCACATTCAAGCCATGACCCGCTCTGCCTTCCCTCACCTCCGTAACATCGCCCGACTCCACCACTACCTCACCACTCAGGCCGCTGAAACTCTTGTTCATGCCTTCGTCACCTCCAGGCTCGACTATGCAAACGGCCAAATAATCCAGAACTCTGCAGCCCGTGTCCTCTCCTGCACCAAACTCCATGACCCCATCTCCTCCACTCTCGCCGACTCCATTGGCTCTCTATCCTTCAGAGGATCCAGTTCAAGATCCTGGTCCTACAAAGCCCTCCATGGCCTCGCCCCACCCTACCTCTGCGAACTCCTAACCCCCTACCAACCCGCCCACTCCCACCGCTCAGCCGGCAGTGGCCTGCTCCACGTCCCCTGCCCCATCAGTGGCGGGAGAGCCTTCAGCCACTCTGCCCTCAACCTCTGGAATTCCATCCCCCAGTCACTCTGCCTCGCCTCGTTCAAGTCCCGCCTCAAGACGCTCCTCTTCGACCAAGCCATCGGCCACCACCCTTCCCCTCCCTTCTCTGCTCCACCCCCCCACCAACCCCAGCTCGGGTCCGAAATGCTGTACACTGTCCAGCGCCTTGGGACGTCCTCCTGATATGAAAGGCGCTATACAAATGTAATCTTGTTGTTGCCTGGATTTTCCCACTGTGAGTGTTTTCCTCCAAGTTACTGGAGGATGAATGTTTTTGTTCCTCTTAGTAGAATCATAGCCCCTGTCGCTTGTGACCCTCAGACTCATGAATGGGCCTTATACAGGGGTTAACCAAACTCCCCTTTCGCCCCCAGGACATTACAATACTTTGGACACAGTTCACTTATCTCTGGTACATGAGTTTCAATTAATCGCATCATAGTTTCCTCTTTTGTTTGCTGCCTGGAACCTACAGGACAATATTTGGGCTATCTCGAACAGTTTCCAATGGGGTGTGGGGGGGAAATGTCCTTAAATTTGGATTCATTGATTATCTTGAACATAACTGAAAAAAGTCAAATTGCTGCAAGGGATATCCCATTATAAAAACATAATGTAAAGTTCACTGTTTTATAAGATAGACTCCATTGTTGCTTTTGCATTACCTATACTACAATACAAACAAATTTATTCAGCATCTTTCACATTGGGAGGCCATTCCCTAGGCACTGGACAGTCTAGAGTTTGAACCTAAACTGGGGATGGGGGCCTGGGTGTTGGGGGGAGGGTGTCAGATGACCAAGGAAGTCAAAGAGGAAGGGAAGGTGTTCGTCGGATTCCAGATAATGCCTTCCAGCAGCTGTCGCCCCAAACCTCAGAGTTTCCTTATCAGCTACTTGGCGGACATCTGATTTCAGTGAGGTGGGAAGACCTGAACAGGACAGCTTGTGACGTTACAGCCACCTTGATGTTCTGAAGGTTCAAGTCCAATGTGGTTTACTCAGCACCAGCTGCTTATTCCAGGTCCTCTCCACTGCATTCCCAGGAGCTCAGATACATAAAGGAGGATTGTTTGCACACAGGTCTTGTATGCCACAAGCTTAACCTGCATTGGGACCTTGCTCTTCTCCAACAACAACAACAAAATTACACTTGTATAGCGCCTTTCACAGCAGGAGGCATCCTAAGGTGCTGGACAATCAGTGTTTTGGACCCGAGCTGAGGGTCAGGATTGTGGAGGGTAGTGGGGGGAGGAGGGTGATCGAAGGTACGGTCGAGGAGGAGGTTGAATAGGAATGAGCAGTACCAGAGTGCCTTTTGCCCCTTCTTGCCGGAATCTTTCAGCACTACTTCCAAGCAAACGTCAGTGTCCATCATGACCCCGAGGTACTGATAAGAATCAACTATCAACAATTGGGACTAATGCCCTTTGTATTTACCAATCATTACTTTCAGTGTCTTTTCTTGAGCCATGATTCCGTACTTGGGGACATCCACGATCATGCCTCAACGGGTTGCCCAGTGTTCAATAATAATAATAATCCTTGCATTTGATGTAGCGGAAAACACATTCCGGATAAATTCCAAAATTTAGCTACATATTCCCCTGGTTTCCAGTTTCATGGGGGCTTCATGAGGCAATAGATTAAAGGCCTTGTGGAAATTGATGAATGCAATGTAGGTAGGTTTCCCTTTAGCCTTACGATGTTCTGCAATCTCATACAAAGCCACAACCTGTCCCACAAACTCTGTCATCTACATGCCTGTTCAGCACAATTTTTCTCTGAGAAGGCTATTGCCCTAAAGGTCGGATGAATAAAGTTACAGTTTACAAACTAGGAGGCGTGCATGCATTTCCCAGTGGGCAAGTCACTGGGAGAAACTCTCTTCTCTTTTCCGATACTGCCATAGGATCTTTAACATCCACATGAACAGGCAGATGGGACCTTGGTTTAATGTTTCAACCAAAATATTTGCTTTGCATTGCCCAGCCTCTCGAACCCCTCCTCACACAAGCTGCAGATGATCCAGAACTCTGCCTTACATATCTTTTGCACCAAACTTCACAAGCCTATCACCTCATCCTCGCTTGTCTCCACTGGCTACCCATTCCCTAGCAGATCAAATTCAACATCCTTGCCCTTGCATTCAAATCTCTACACAGCTTTGCCGCTCCTATCTTTATGATCTACTGCAATCCTATCACCCTGGCTGCTCCCTTCAATCAGCAGCACCAGCCTGCTTCATGTCCCTTGCTTGTCTGCCTCACCATCAATGGGATGAGCTTTCAGTCATTCTGTCACCGCTTTCCATCCTGGATTTCCTCTGCCTTGCCTCCTCCCTTTAAAGCCATCTTGCAGACCTTTCTTTTTGACCACGCTTTTGTACATCTTTTCCCCCGTCCTTCCTTCACTCATCCCACCCCAGCTCAGGCTCCCATTTGGCTCTATGAACCACTTTGAGACATCCTCCTGAATTGAAAAGCACTAAATAAGTATAAAATTGTTGTTGTTATAACTCCACATATGTGCCATCCCCAGTCTCAGAGAGCAATTCTATTGCATTAGTCTGGAATTTCTATTCCCACATCCTTGTGGCTTCTCTTAAAAGATGGTAATTGCACATTTAATAGCAATTACTGATGAATAATGTACTATGGATTCTTACCCACAAGAAACTGGTTTGTAATTCCCAAACATATATCATACACGACCCCCACACAGGGCAGAGAACCTTTCATCCCATTAATCTGGGCTGGATTATCTTCCTGGTAACTCAGGTCACCAAGTGAAAGGACAGATGTTTATTTCCTTAATATCAGTACGAAGGTGCATACTATAAGCCAAACAAAGACAATGGGTTGACATTAAGAATTTACTTCTAAGCTGTCAGAAGACCTGAGAAATTTCAGTGACCAAAGTATGTTGGAATGCAAAGGACTGTGAAAAACCAAATGAGCGATTTAAAACATGTGGCAAGAATTAAATTAGCACAAAAAATATTTTGTGGAACAATTTACATCCTCGTTCTCCATAATGTTTAAATAACTAGAAAAGACAGCAGGAAGCACTAGCATTCCTACACATAGGCATTTCAACAATGGATCTTGAGCACTGTTATCTTGACTGTGAACTCATCCCCAATGTCTCATGTCTCAGTGGTTCAGGTAGTCTGGTTCTTACCATCTCCTTAACTTTACACACTCGCTTCTCTTTTGTATATTGCACAAAAGGCCTTTCCCCCATTGGCCACTTGCAATATTAATAAATATTAATATTATTAATTAGTGTTCTGTGTAGGCTCTATTTGGACAATTTTGCAATTCTTATGTATTAATTTCTTAAATAAAATGAATGAGTTTTTTGGTTGTTGTGTAGTAGTAACTGGTGTAGTCTTATTGTGGAAACAGCCCTTCACAATTAGTCACGATGATTTCTTCACACCCGTGTCCTGTGAGTCAGTGCGCCTCATAGTTTGGAGGTGAAGGAGGATATGATTGGCCACGATGATGAGATGTCTAGAGAATAGAACCACATCACAACCCTTGAAGACAAACGATTTCAGAGATAAAGTTGAGGTGGGGGTGTGGGGATGGGGGCAGTCATTTACAGCAGTTGGACTTGAACGCCTTGAATCAATCAAGAATTTTGAGTCTGTTTTATGTCTGTATTCTTTCCATGGGATTCCAAAATAGTGGTGAGTCTGTGAAATAATAGATGGGTGAAATGTGGTAGACAATTGCGCACAGCAGTGTTCCATAAACAGTCATGGATTGAGTGACCCAATTTATTTTAAGGAATTATTATCCCCGGAAAAGGGATCCACCAATCGATTCACAACCAAGTTTCTACTTACTGCTAGATAAAGAGAGGCGTGTGGAGTAAGGAAACTTGCCCAACATTTCATCCTGCCCGGGAGTTGAACCCAAGTCCTCTCGCTTGCGAGGCATGTTCTGTAACCACTAAGCTACAGGACGCAAC